GCAGCCCGGCCCAACGAGCCCGGCCCGGCCCGAACCAGCGAGCCCGGCCCAACGAGCCCCGCAGCCCGGCCCAACGAGCCCGGCCCAGCCCACAGCAGCGAGCCCGGCCCGCAGCAGCGAGCTGGGCCTGGCCTGAACCACCGAGCTGGGCCCGGCCCGCAGCAGCGAGCCCCGTGGCCCAGCCCAAGGAGCCCCGTGGCCCGGCCTGCCGGGGCAGCAGCGCCTTGCAGCCATGGCCACAGCCAGGGCCACCGCCACCATAAGGACATGGGGGGGCGAGGGAGCCCCGCCGCAGGATGGCTGTGATGCCGGCCATGGTGCGGGACCCCCCAGGCCATGGGGGACCCCCAGGCCGACACGAACGCACGGTGACCAGCAGGCTGAACACAACGGGGAGCATGGGGCGAGCGCCGCCATGTGCTGTGGGGACGCGGTGCAGCCCGGCCGCGCGACACGGGGACACGGTGCAGCCCACACAGGCGGTGTGGGGACGTGGTGCAGCCCAGTTGTGCTGCATGGGGACACGGTGCAGCCCAGTGGGCAGTGTGGGGACACGCGGTGCAGCCCAGCTGTGTGGCACAGGAACATGGTGCAGCCCGGCTGTGCAGTGTGAAGACACAGTGCAACCTGGCTGTGCAGTGTGGGGACACGGTGCAGCCCACACAGGCGGTGTGGGGACACGGTGCCGCCCATCCAGGCAGTCTGTGCAGGCATTCTCGGTGCCCGTGCAACGTGTGCCACCAGAGCTCATCGCGGTGCCCACGGGAGACATTTACCGGCTGCGGACGGGCGCTTCCTGGGGCCGCACACTGGCACCACGAGGGCTGGAGGCTCCCGCTTGGCCCCTCGTCCAGGAGGCTCCGTCCCCACGATCCGGGGAGACACTGCCTCGAGGAACCAAGGAATCCGTTTTACTGCCGGGAGCTCGTATCCCGCTGAGGAACAGAGATGTTGGAACCAGGGAATCCGTTTCACTGCCGGGAGCTCATATCCCGCCGAGGAACGGAGACGTTGGAACCAAGGAATCCGTTTCACTGCCGGGAGCTCGTATCCCGCCGAGGAGCGGAGACGTTGGGCAGTGGCCAGCACAGCCCGACACGGGAAGCTTTAACGGGGATGTGGCGCGCGGGGCCCGACGCTGCCGCAGCCACAACAAGCCCCGTGCCAGACACACGCCTCCCTCTGCTGCCATCTCCTTCCCACTCCTTCCCAGCGGCCTCCAGAACGTCCCTGTCATCCTTCACGCGCTCCCTTTCCTCGGCATCCCGGCTCCTCTTCCTGCGCCTCCAGCCTCCCTCCCACGGCCATTTACACCTCATCTGCGAACACCTCTATCGATCTCATTCCAGATAAAAGAATGGTGATTTCATGAAGGGAGCTGGATTTATGGGCTGTCCGCAGCGCAAAGGCGCCTTCCCTTCCTGCCTTCTAAATATAGCCGCTGCGGAGTGTGTTTAATGGAGCCGTCAAGGAGGCACGGCGATGGAGGCTGATGGATGGAGCGGCGCCAGCGCTTCGGAGATAGGTGAGCAGAGAGGCTCTATATTTAGAGCAGGAGCAAGAGGAGAGCAGGGCGTGTGGCCGAGCAGGTCCGGGGAGCCCTGGAGGAGCCGGCCCCAGGAGGCGGAAGCACCGGGAGCACCGGGAGCGCCAGGAGCGCGGGGAGCACCGGGACAGCGGCTGGCCGAGCTGGGGACCACCCACGGGGCAGGGTCTGCATGCGGCCATGGCCCCAAAGCCGAGCCCATCTCTGTGGATCATCCCCAAAGCCGAGCCCATCTCTGTGG